CATTTATAATTTTTATTATTTCTTTTATTAAATTTAAAAAAATTTGAAATGGTATAAAATCTGTAATACTTGAATTTTTTTAATAAAATTTGAAATTTGTCGATAAACTTCAGTGAATTAAATATTGTACCACTTTAATTTGAATTATCTTAATTTGGAGGGGCAGGAGGCTGGGGGTTGCACTTAAAAACTAACTTTTTTTCGCAAACTTTAATTTAAATTCTGCTTGCGCAGAACTTGTCTATATAATGTCATTATAAACTCATATAAATTTGATGTGGGTCCCATGTTTAATAACTGAGATATGGGTGTGCCAAAATCCACCAGCCGCTACGCTATGGATATATATATATATATATATATATATATATATATATGCATTAATGGTTCAGGGATCTGCTCCGTGTTCTTCGTTTTTAGTACCATCTTCAGGTTTACTTCTACTAAACTATTGTTTTTCAAACTCTATCAAGTCGAATCTAATATGGCAAAGCCCTGTATGTTATCTAGTTGCGAAGAAAGGTAGAGTTTAATTTAAATACTAAAAGATAGATTTTTTTATGAAATCGAATGTGAATGATATTGTAATGTATTTTATATTGTATTAATTTATTATATTAATACTACACCTTTTCCAGTTGATATTCGGAAAGTAGGAATTGTAATTCAGTTATTCCAGTTGATATTCAGATAGTAGGAATTGTAATTCAGCTATTCCAATGATTTTAAGAGAGTAGCATATGTAATTCAGATAACACAATTGATTTTAAGAAAGTAGCAATTGTAATTCAGATAACAAAATTGATTTTCAGAAACTTGCAATTGTAATTCAGAAAGTAGCAATTGTTTTTCAGATTAAATCAAATGTAATTTAGCCGCAGCAATTGTTTCAGGAACAGTGGGTTGCATACAGTAAATCGATGATGAATGAAAGTACACGTTATCTTTATTAACTAAGTAAATGAAATTTATATAAAGTACAAATGAACAAAATTCGGTCCTTACTTGCAATAAGTTGACAATTATGACAAATATACCTTCTTAAATGGTGATAAATTTGTTTATTATTGTCAATTCCATGAAAACAAAGCAATATACAAAGAAATACATTAAATTGAGATTTTAGAAAATAAGTAAAAGAAGTATGAAAATGTTATCATTTGTTAATTTCTGAATTTCAATTGACATATTCTGAATTACAATTGTTACTGTCTGAATACTATTTGTAATTTCTGAATATCAATTGCTAATGTCTGAATATCATTTGCAATATCTGAATTACATCAGCTACTTTCTGAATATCATTTGAAATATCTGAATTACATTTGCTATTTTCTGAATTTCATTTGCAATATCTGAAAATCAATTGCTGCTTTCTGAATATCAATTGCTACTTTCTGAATATCAACTGGAAAAGGTGTAGTTCAAAAGTCAAATTATTATTAAACTCCGTACAGAAATAAAACTAAAATTTCATTATGTCAGTAGAACCTAACGTAAAAATATTGTGACAGAATCTTAGAAATTATTTAAAAAGTTCTTAAAAAATAGTATATAAAACTTATTAATTGCCTAGCACACAATCTACTACCTCGGCAAATGTATTCTCGGCGCTAATATGTGATTTCTCCGCCTGGTCTATAATGTACTATTTTAACTCCATGTAACTTTGCTTGTAAAACGCTTCGTTTCCGATATACCGAATAAAAAAATATAATATTTGATTTTTATATTATCTACACCTTTTCCAATTGTATTTCAGAAAGCGTCAAATGAATTTCAGAAACCGACAAATATATTTCAGAATTGTCAAATGTATTTCAGAAAGCGTAAAATGTTTTTTAGAATAGTCAAATGTATTTCATAATGCGTACTATGTATTTCAGAATAATCAAATGTATTTCAGAAAGCATCAAATGTATTTCAGAAAGCGCCCAATGTATTTCAGAAAGCCTAAAATGTTTTTCAGAACGGGTTAAATATATTTCAGAAAGCGACAAATGTATTTTAGAAAGCGTCAAATGTATTTCAGAACGCGTTTTCCAATTGTATTTCAGAAAGCCTCAAATGTATTTCAGAATAGTCAAATGTAATTCAGAAAGCGTTAAATGTATTTCATAATAGTCAAATGTATTTCGGAATTCGTTAAATGTATTTCAGAATAGTCAAATGTATTTCAAAAAGCGTCAAATGTATTTCAGAATAGTCAAATGTATTTCAGAAAGCGTCACATATATTTCAGAATAGTCAAATGTATTTTAGAAAGCGTCATATGTATTTCAGAAAGCGTCAAATGTATTTTAGAATAGTCAGAATGCGCATTAAATAATATATTTATCTACTCCCCCATTAATAAGCTGTTACTGACTTTATGGCGTTTTAGTCACGGGCTGAAGTTAGTAACAGTGGCTTTTGAGCATTTTAGTCACAGGCTAAAGATGTCAAATTTTTAATAAATAAAATTGGACACTCTTTTTTATTAAACACTCGCTCGCAAGCTTCGCTCGTGCCTAATAAAACTCGTAACTAAAATGGCGTTTATAAAACTTGATATTAATAAATTGTATTATTTTAAATTTTATTCTACTAAAAAAAATGGAAAAAATACTAAATTTGTTTCAAACTTTTTAATTGTTTTTAGCGAGAGGTAATCCACTTTAAAATCTTAGATACCAACATTCAATATTAGTGGACGTTGTGTTGAGATTTTTTTCCTTGTCAGTCGTTATCAATAAGGAAAACTTGCTTAATCGGTGCTTAATCAGGGCTTAGCGACGCGTTGCGCATGACTACCCTTATTATTGTTATCCATAGCCGTTATTTCGTAAGCGATTTTTAATTTTAAAAAATCAGTGGTTTACCCCTCGGTTTTTAGTGTTTTATGTACATATTATTTAAACTTTTTTACTGTTTAACATTTAGTACAATGTTACAGTGATTGATTATCACACTATGTACACAAGGAGTACAAACTTTTTATGTAGATGTAATGTCCCTTTGTCCTAACAAGAATGCAGCCTGCTTCATAGTTGAGACATGCCCTACTTCTCTTTTAGCGCCCTCTTATTTTGGGAAGCCATTTGTTTACATGAAGTTCATACTTCTTGTGTAGGCTCTCTGAATAATTGTCTAGGCCGAAATCGGGTAAAGTTTTTTACCTCCTAGTCTGTAAAAAAGGCAATAATTCGATAACTTAACCTCATTTCCAAATAATTAATTTAATAATTATTATTATTATTTAATAATTATAATTATTATTATAAATGTACGTTTTTTGTATCCTTTAACAAATAAAATTGTGCATTAAAGATAAAAATGTTGTATGCAATTTGGTATTTACTTAACTTCTTTATGGACACCTGACCTTACTTCCGGTTACCACTACATAGTCTTGTTATTTTGACAGCAAAAGCAAACGTAGTCAATATTGTATCTTTGCTATTTACAGATTTGTACATGGATAACAAAATTAGGACTTTTAAAATTCCGTGTCCGCCACTGCACATAGAAATCGTGTTATTTTTTTTACCCGAATAAAATATTTTAAAATAATTGTATACAATCTATAGATACATACATTTAAAAAAATATTTTGTTCATGGGCAGAAGTTGTTAAATAATTAAATAAATAGGTAATTATAATTATTTTAATTTAGAAATTATAATTTCAAAATATTTTGACAAGATTTTACCGAGTTGGTACATTTATATATTATTAGATTTGTCAATTATGTGTAACCATAGAGAAAGTAAAAGTTTGTAACCATGAATATTAAGCATAAAACGTCATCTGTCTTAAAAACGTGACAAATATATCTTTTTAAGAGTTAAAATTAAGATATGAATGTTAAAGACAATTGTGCAATTTGTCGGGTACAAATGCTAAGAAGTCCTGTACTTAGGGTACACCCGTGCAATCATATTTTCCATGTAAAATGCTCAGAGGGCGTACTTGCTGCACCCAATGCACTTTGTCCAATGTGCAGAACATTAATAACTGGACATGAAAATATTTTAAGAAAAAAGTACCAAAAACATACGAACATGGACAGAGAAAGGATTGTTTATTGCGCCAATCGAGGAGAAGATTGGGTTGCTTTGGCGGAAACATTAAATGTAAATTATAAAACCGCCTACACCTGGGTAAAATCGGGTCGGGAGGTGATGAACAAAAAGGGGGGAATTAAACCCAAGGTGCTTACAGAAGATCAGTTAAATATGGTAATAGAATGGTTAGAAGAAGACCCTGGTTTGACTTTAAAACAGCTTCAGACTAAAATATTGGCAACGTTTGAAAGGCAAATCTGCATATCCAGTATTGGAAATTACCTAGAAGGTAGATTGTTCACAATAAAACAGGTGCATTACCAACCTGTAACCATGAATTCAGCGGAAAATAAATTAAAACGTGCAAATTATGTTAGAACTTTAAATGAACATATTCATCGTGGAAAACAAATTGTATGGATCGACGAGACTAATTTTAATCTTTTCTGCCGAAGAACAAGAGGTCGTGCCCGAGTTGGTAATAGAGCTGTTCAAGTATTGCCAGCATCAAAAGGACCCAATGTTCATGTAATTGGAGGTATATCTGCTGCAGGTGTTGTTTTAATGGAGCGTCGCCGGGGATCTTTTACGGCATATGCTGCTAATGAGTGGATGGCAAGCTTATTGCAACATTGGGTAAATGGTGGTAATCATCTGGATGACCTTGTTATTGTTTGCGACAACGCCCCTTGCCACTCTCGGTTAGAAAATACTATAACTGGGACCGGAGCAACTCTATTGCGCCTAGCACCCTATTCTCCCATGCTCAACCCTATTGAGAATATCTGGAGTAAGGTTAAGGCCTACGTTAAATTGAATCTTCGAAATCCTCCTGTTGCAGGTCCTGGCGTTGGACAGCAACGTTTGGTCCACTTGGAAAATATTATAGATAATGCCAAGGATACCGTTGTAGGAGGAGACTGCGCGCGAGCTGCTCAGCATTCAACAGTTTTTCATGCTGCAGCTTTAGCCATGGAAGATATGCAAGTGGGGCTCTAAATACATAAATTTGTACTACATAGTTTTGTAAAATAAAAATTATAAATTTTAGGTCATATTTGTGGAGGCTTATCCACTTTTTAATAAAAATGAGTTAGTGGAGTCTGTACATTTAACATACCTGAAAAGGTTATATTATTCTAAAACTCACCTTATTCCATTTAAAATTTATTTAAAAATTGCCTATCGTTCCAAAACTTGCCTTATCTATAGGTTTATTCATGTCAGAACTCGGCTTAACGTATATAATTTTAAATTATTTCAAATTGGAGCTATACCTTTTTAATCAAGGACCTAGATTCAAGGTAAATAAATGTTATACTTATGCCTATATATTACGTTTAAAGTATTCTGTTCGCCTGATATGTGAGGCGTCTATTTGCAATACCTGCTGCATCCATTTTAAGATAATTTACAAAATCGACAAGAATATTGCCACAGAAGGATTTTTTCTTTTTTAATTATTTTGATATGATAACTTTAATGAGATATTACTTTGAGAAAAAATCTAGAAATCCTATACTGATAGTAAAGATGTTATAAAAACTTGAAGAATGGATGCGGCCGATTTAGCAGTAAAAATATGGAACTGGCCGATTTTGGAAAAAAATAAAATAGCTTATTTATGCATTTTTATAGTTTATTATAAAAATAATGTAAAAAAATAACAAAGTTAATGTGGTTAGTAACTAAAATTCTGTAGTAATTAAATTTAAATCAGTTTATAAAAAAACAATGGTGCGTTCTAAAAACATTACTCCAAAAAGAATAAGAAGATAAAACAAGATAAAGATATATTTAAAATACTAGGTTGTTCTGTTTTTTTAGGCGTTTCAAAAACGGCAACTTCAGAAAATGCAGAAAACAATTTATTGTCAGTTAGTATTTTTTTGTAATATTCTACAAAATCAATTTCTTGCCAATTTATTCCATAATGTTTTTTCCATTGATTGGGGTGTAACTTTACTCAACGATTTGTTGTTTTAAATAAATTTTTATATTCTGTTTTAAATATATTTTTTACTTATTTTAACTTCAAACAACTTTTTCCGTGCTGTCTATAGTAATATAGATGTATCGATAGCACAAAACTATCATATAGAAAATATCGATGGTCGAATTTTTGACTATGGCACACCTCTAGCTGATACACAATGTGAAACTGCCACTGTTGTGTAAATATATATATTTACACAACAGTGACATATGCACTGAGAAAAAAATGGGACAAATAAACTGTGTAGCTAATACTTTTATTAATAGTGAATATATTGTTTATTACCTCTAAATAGTCGAAATAATATATATATTAGGGTGTCCCTTATTTTTATTTTTTTTACGCATACCCTCTAATTATATTTATTACGTGTTTATATACTCCCAGTAAAAATTTCAGCTCATTATATAAACGGGAACCCGTGCCGACTTGCATCTGAACCATCCGTTAGCCAACGTTAGGCGCGCGGTATTTTGTAACACGGTTGGTCGCGAAGTCATTTTGTGTTTGTTATTATGTGACCCTTATATTATAAATTATTGACAAATGTTAAAATATAGTTTTATTTATGTGTATACTTTGATAAAAATGTATATTTTCACAGGGAGTGGCTAGTTACCCGGAGGGGTCTGTTGAATAGGCCGTAAGCACTGAAATTGATAAACTTAATGGGTTTTACTCTAAATAACTAAAAGAGTCTATTGTGAGAGATGACTACCGAAAACTTATTGAACTGTCTGAAATATTTTTGGGAGGACATCAAGAAAAGAAATGATTATAAAAAGCTGAAATTTCATATAACAGTATATTTTAGCAATACTAATTAGTATATTAATATATTTAAGGGATAAAATCAACTAAATTAGTGAAACAAATGATAGAAACAAAAGAAATAATATTAAATAGTAATCATATTTAATAAAATCATTAGAAGTATGAAGTATATCTTCTTTTTAAAGTGTTTCGTGTTACAAAATACCGCGCGCGGAGGGTTAAGATGCAAGTCGGCACGGGTTCCCGTTTATAGAATGAGCTGAAATTTTTACTGGGAGTATATAAACAAGTAATAAATATAATTAGAGGGTATGCGAAAAAAAAATAAAAATAAGGGACACCCTAATATATATATATATAACGATAAATATACTTTAGTAAAACTTTATGTGTCGGGAATAAAAATATATTTAGGATAAATAAACTCTACCCTTGTCCCATATTTAAATATTTTTTTTATTTGGGAGCAATAAATTTTTTTCTCAGTGTGGTGACTGCGATTCTTTGCAGATGTTAAAAACCTGTAATTTGGAAGTAGCCGCTACTGAAACAAACTCTACAATGGATGTGGCCGCTTTTGCAAAATATTCCAAAATTTAAACTTACTTTTTAGCGAGATCTAACCGCTTTTAAAATAATTTAAGTTTATCACGTGACAAGGCACATCTTATAATATGGTTTTCTACTGTTAGATTAATTTTGATAAAATTTGGATGTAGCCACTATTGCAAGTAGACGCCTCATGTGTTAGTACTCACGGTTTTTGACATTTTGCTCAAAATCACCTAATATGGGTAAGCCGAGTTTTGGAATGCACCTCCACATTTATAACTATGTAATATATAGTAATAATATTAATATGTATGTAGTAAATACATACAATAATAATAATAATAATAATACTTAATAATTTTCGTTTATATAAATTTATGTTGTAGGTATATTCTTTACACACTAACCATGCTATCAATTAAAAAGCTTCCAAAATATATATTTTCACTATTCTGAAATACATTTGATGCTTTCTGAAATCCATTTAAAGCATTCCGAAATACATTTGATTATTCTGAAATACATTTGAGACTTTCTGAAATGCATTTGACACTTTCTAAAATACATTTTACTATTTTGAAATTCATTTGATGCTTTCTAAAATACATTTGACTATTTCGAACTACATTTAACGCATTCCGAAATACATTTGACTATTATGAAATACATTGGGCGCTTTCTGAAATATATTTGACGTTTTCTGAAATACATTTGACGCTTTCTGAAATACAATTGGAAAAGGTGTAGAATACTCTTAAAAAAACAATAACCATATTTATATTTATCTAACTTTGTGTTCACAATGTTTTATTTCTATTTTATATTTTTTTAATCTCTACATTTTAAGCATTTTTGTATTTTTCATAAGTGTGAAGAGAAATTTATTTTTCTCTAATAAAACTCATCGTAATAGTATTTTGACAAATAATATTATGTTGTTTAGAGCACTTTACGTCAAGTGGGCAATAAAAATTACAAACTTGTTATCCCAAACGTCCTATATACAAAAAATTAAAAAGTGTACCAATATCGGTTTATTAATTTCTAAATTCTATAAAAATTCTATAAAATATATATATGTTTAAAAAATATGATAATCATGTCCAGGCTCTGTTAAATATACATTAAATGTATAAATTTTATTATATAAAATATATTTTTTTGTATTTATGCCATTCTTTATAAAAACATGTACAGGTCGATATCAAATGACTAAAATAAAAAACGTTTGAAGGTCCTTACAAAAATAAGCTGATACTTAATTTATTTTTCTTGTATGTATGCTACAACATGACTTCTGTACAAAAAATGTGCAGCAACAATAATGGTTGATGATATCAAATGACTAAAATAAAACATTCTAAGGTCCTTTTCAAAAGTAAGCAAAGGAATAATAATTTTGCATTTATTAGACAGCCGTCGCGTTTTAGTTAACATTTAAAGACAAGCATATTTGTAGCAAGGTGGGTGTAGATTAGCCTTTACCTGAATACGTTGATAGGTATCGGTCATCATGGCAATTAGAAGATTGATAAGGACGACAACCGAAACCAGCATGTACCCGCCATAAACTATCTTAAAAAGTACTTCTGTCCAAATAGGCTGGTGGTTATTTTTGATACGCTGATAGTCCTCTGATTTGAGATAATCAACTTGGGTTTGGCCGAAAACCGCGAAAAACAGTAGTTCAAACGCACTGATCGGGTTCTTTTGGACTGGAATCACAAAGCAAAAAAAAAAATTACCTGAATGCGCTGGTATGTATCAGACATCATGGCAATAAGAAGGTTGATTAAGACAACCACCGATACCAGCATATAGATGCCGAAGACCACTTTGAACAGGTTGTCGGTCCAAGATGGTCGATGTGGGATGTGATTTGGCAGGGCCTTGACCAACAGTTCATCGTACGTTGTTTGACCAAATACGGCGAAAAACAGAAGCTCAAATGCATACAGCGGATTCATAATCACTGGGAACAACACCAATATGCATACGAGTCAGTTTTAACTTATTTATATCTCCATCCTCTTAAGATATTATCTACCCCTTAGCTCTGCATCATGCCAACATAAAGTAAATTGCAAATTTTCAAAATGAAACATACTATTTAATTTATATTTTTATATTTTGTAAGGCCTAATATTATTTAATTTTCTAAATAAAATTTTGTAAGTTTGCAATTTGACTATAAAATATTAAAACACAGTGCTATTTAATACTTTCACAAAACAAAACACTCTAGAGAGACACTCTGGAAACACTCTAGAGACAAAAAACAAAAGCTCTTGAAGATACACCTAAAAGGCATCTATACATCCTGGCCTGTTTAATAAAAGTCACAAAACACAGATCTTGATATATTTGGTTGTACAAGACCTAAGACAAAATACACGACATATAAAAATTGCATTGAAGAAAACCCCCAATCATAAAATTAATTTAAAAAATGTACAAGATACAAAAGAATACCTTGCAATTACTTCTTTATATTGTTATTAAAAATAAATAAATATAAATATTTTAAAAATTAATTTTATTTCTGTAACATTAAACACAAATCTGCTAGGCCACACAAAAAGGCTGCAGACTTACTGCCAGCAACAGGGGGTCTCTTTTTACGTAGAGCAGCCTTGGATCTATGAACGTTAGGGATATATCCTTCGATCCATTCAGCATCCTGAGACACATTTTCCCTTTCTATGTTTAAAAAATATAGTTTTAGTGCACAATCAAAAATTAACTATTTTTTCTTAATTATATATCTATATACATATATACAGGGCAAGTTTTTAATGAATGATTTGATGGTAATCAATATTAAAAAACAATTAATATTACACTTTGCGACAAATTTTGACCTTACAATTTGAACTGGGATGAAATGTGGAAAAATCGAATCTATGCAACCCCCAAAACTAATCTTTAAAGGGGTTTTGCTAGTTTAGCTCGAATAATGGAGATATATGTATATCTCCATTATTCCAGCTAAACTGGTAAAACCCCTTAAAGGATTTGTTTTGGGGGTTGCCTAGATTCGATTTTTTCAGATTTGATCCCAGTTCATTTTTTGTGTTGCACAATGTTATCAATTAATAAATTTAATATTAATTGTTACCAACCCTGTATTTAATTAAATCATAATCAAACATTCGTAAATACACTTACCATCTTTAAAATATCCTCTATATGGAGCTTTAAGTCTTCTTATTTCCCCTGGCGTGAGGTTTTGAAATGGTTGATTTAGGGCTACAAACTGCATTGAAAACCCAAATACAAAAATTGCCAGTACTGCCAAAAATCTTGCCAAATCCTTCATTAGGTTTCCTATTATAATGGCCCATGGTCCAAATAAATGATGAAATGATAAAAAATCTAATATTTGTACACACGCCAAAACAAAACTTAAAGCAAAAAGTTGATTTCTGCAATACATTAAAGTTGGCCAATATGTTCTTTCTATGAAAAGTAGTCCCAAAAGATGTACACCAACTCCAAAAATACTAAATAGTAACACTGACAGTTTAATCCATCCCAAGCCAGATTTATCACTTGGATTTGTTAATTCAAATAATAATAGGCCACTTAACCAAACCAGTAAAATCCATTCGTACCAATATGGAAGTAAACTATATCTTACCACTGGATACGGAGGCGTTATTCCCACAATAAGGAGAAATAACATAAGGTAGACATGTGAGGTGAGGTATGACATAAATTTAATAATTGGGACTTTATGATACTTATGCCTTAAAGGTAACGTAAATGCTATCCATATTGGAGGACATATTATGAAAAAAACAAAAAGAAGAAGAGTTCGCCATGCTGTCCAATTTAAAGCTCCTCTCCAGAGTTCCTAAAATAAAAATATATTTAAGACATTTTTTTCACTGAGTTTGACTTAATTAATTTAAGAGAAGTGAAACCAGTAAATTAGTATATGTAGTGTTTTATTTTAACCAAATTATTTTTATTTAGTTGATACTGTAAATATTTTATTAATTTATTTTAAAAGTTGTTATTTCAGATACGTTTAAAGGGTGTTATTTTTAATGTTACCATCATATCCACACTATAAAAGGTTACATTAGGACATGGGCAGAAAAAAGCTGTCCATTGAAAGGGGCTCCCTTCCCACTTTTATGGACAGTCCTAGTAAAAGAAATGATTAACTAAACAAGCTTACCCTAGATTGCTATCATTGCCTACATGACGACATATCGTTGGTCGTCGAGGCACAAGTCAATAACACGGTGTATGTCAAAACGTACACCGTATCTAACCGTACCCAGGTAGCACTATACATAGTTAGCAGGTGGTTCAGAAGGAAGGTGACGTAAATCCGTTCAAAACCACAGAAAATAAGTACTTACAAGACTAAGACCCCCGGTACTGGGAGAAATGAAATACCATTTTCAACAGAGGCTTAATACCTAGGAGTTTTTTTCGAACCAAAGCCGACATAAAAAACTCACCAAAATACCATTGCAGGTGCCTAGGTGGGTGGTAAGACCTATGGTAACATATGGGTCAGTGGTCTGGGAGACAAAAAACAAACAGGCCTACTCCAGCCCCAAACTCACCTAAATACCATTGCAGGTGCCTAGGTGGGTGGTAAGACCTATGGTAACATATGGGTAATTGGTCTGGGAGACAAAAAACAAACAGGCCTACTCCAGCCCCAAATACAGGCGTGCTTAGCGAACACAGGATGCATCTTACTCCTGTAGCTGCTATAAAAGTGCTTTTGAACCTGCTATCGTTTTACATAGGTCAAGACTATTAAAGGGACACAAATCAATTAGTCAACTACACGGGAACACACATCAGAAATTAATCAGAGAACTAAGGTCAGACCCAGTTTTAAGCCTGCTATCATACACAACAGATAAAACTTTGGTAAAAACTTTAGTATCTTAGTACCAGACATGGGGGAATGGGATAAAGGCCCACCCTTAAAAGCCTGGTGTACAGATGGATAAAAAAAATCGACTTTGTAACTAGAGCTGATAACTACATCGTAGGCAAGCTAACCACAGTATTGCAAGGTAAAACAATAGCCATATACTACTTTGATACAGAGGCGTTAAATACGAAATCGTCATCTACTTTAACAATCAATCCGCAAAGCGTTATATTCCATGTAGAGTGGAGTCACAGTATCCACAGCCAAGACTTATGTAAAGAAGTAGACAAACAAAATGGCACAATATTAATGGGCCAATTACCCCAAACTAAGACATCCCTGCTGAAAAAGCCGGGTGATTGCAGGCATGTGCGGGTGAAAAACCAAGCTGGTTTTACGTCCGGTTACATATGTTTTTCGCCGGCCATGCCAGATTTTGCCCGCACGTCTGCTTTCACCTGCGCTGCCGTGTGTATATATCACCCGCAAACGCCCGGCATTGACGTTAATTATATATAAAAGTATGCTTTCGCCTGAATTCACACGCATTTGCCTGCATTTTGATTTTCTGTTTTAGTCTGCATTCGCCCGCTTTCATCCGCGAACGTATGTTTTCACATGCGTACGTCTGCATTCGTCCGCGAACGTCTGATTTTACCCGCAAACGTCTCCCCTTGCCAAGTTTCATCCGTGAACGTCTGCTTTTACCCGCGAAGGTCTGCTTTCACCCGCGAACGTTTGCTTTTACCCGCGAACGTCTGCTTTCACCCGCGAACGTCTACTTTTACCCGCGAACGTCTGATTTCATCGCTTTGTCTATGAACGCCCGGTTATACCTGTCTTTCGTCCGGTAAGTGCACTCCTGCAATCATCTGAAATCATCTGCGATCGCCGGCATTCACTTTTATCTACTTTCGCCCGTTTTCACCCGCAAACGTTTGCTTTCACTTGCAAACGTCTACTTTCATCCGCGAACGTCTGCTTTCACCCGCGAACGTCTAATTTCATCCGCTAAGGTTTGCTTTCGCACGGTTTCATCTGTAAACGTCTGTTTTCACCCGCGTAGGTCTGCATTCATCCGGTTTTATCTGAGAATGTCTGTTTCAGTCTGCGAACGTCTGCTTTCACCCGCGAACGTCCGCTTTCACCTGCGAACGCCTGCTTCGCTTCGTCTAAGAACGCCCGCAAACGTCGGCTTTCGTCCGCGAACGTCGTTTTTCGTCTGCTTTCATCCGCAAATGTCTGCTTTCACCTGCGTACGTCTGTTTTTACCCGCAAACGTCTGCTTTCAGTATGCGAACGTCTGCTTTCACCCGCGAACGTCTGCTTTCACACACAAACGTCTGCTTCGCTTTGTCTACGAGTATTTAAAACAGTTAACCAATTAAAATCCCCAAAATCAAATCGATTAAAGGGGAATACAACAAAATATTAGGTAATATTGCGGCATTGCCAAATTTAATTGCCAGCTTTTGCATACATTTTTCAAACAAAAAATATTTTCAGTCAAAAACTATTATTTATCTTTAAGAAAACTGTGATAACTGGTCAATTGTCATATAACTTGTTCCGATGCTGTATCCACTTATTTTGTGAAAACTAATTCTCGCTCAAGGTTTTTTTTAGTGTAATAAGCATCTAGCATTTCAAGGTAATGGGAACTTAAATTATGACAACCCTAATCTATTAATTTTTTCCTAAAATGCAGGCTTTTTGTTGCAAATGTCACATAAGTTACCGGTCACCAACTGCAATATCCTAACATCGATGAATATTTCAACAAAATGGCCGTTCAAACAACTAATGTTAGTGCTTGATTAACTAAAAATAGACTTAAGATTGACAAAAAATTATTTTATCCGAAATCGGCAGTAAAGTAGTCAACAATCGTAAATTAAAATAAATCGGCAGTAAAGTTCTACTTTACTGCCGATTTCGGATAAAAAAATTTTTCGTCAATCTTAAGTCTACTTTTAGTTAATCAAGCACTAACATTAGTTGTTTCAACAGCCATTTTGTTAAAATATTCATCAATGTTAGGATATTGCAGTTGGTGACCGGTAACTTATGTATATTTGCAACATAAAGCCTGCATTTTAGGAAAAAATTAATAGATTAGGGTTGTCATAATTTAAGTTCCCATTACCTTAAAAAGCTACATGCTCATTAAACTAAAAAAAACCTTGAGCGAGAATTAGTTTTCACAAAAATAAGTTGATACAGCATCGAAACAAGTTATATGAGAATTTACCAACTGCCTGTACCTACTTCCGTATATTTATATTTTATATTTTAGTGTTTTTATATAATATTTGTTGAATATTTTTATTTTTCTACTATTGTACCTGCCATGGAATCATGTATTCTTTTTGGGTTTATTAAATAAATAAAAAAAACATTTATCAGGTTTTTTTTTTCCAAATCATATACAGGGGAACCCAACAAAGTATCCAGCAACACTTTGACAGGTGTCAAGTAGACAGGTTACAGGTGACATGTCAAGTGACGGATGTCAAGTTGACAGGTGACAGATGACAAATAATAATTGCCAGATGACAGGTGACAGATGACAAATGGCAGATGACAGATGACAAATGGTAGGTGATAGATGACATGTGACAGATGACTTGTGACAGATGATGTTATAAATCATCATTAAAATTAAAATACATTTAGGTGGAGCGGTCGCGGCGCGATTCACACCTGCAGCGAGCAACAAGCTCAGCTTGGTGAGCATGTTTAAAACGCTGAGGAGACTTAAAATCATTTTTTTGTTTAATTAATTAAACGTATTTTTACTAAGTGTTATATTTATATTTTTTCTGAAATTACTTTAATAACAAACTTGTAAGGCGATAAATTTGAATTATTTTTCGGGGAGTTTCTGACTAAAGTGGTAACATGGCATCAAAGCACGCTTGTCAATCGGAATACGGCCTGCCGCGGCATAAGCAATACATCTCACGGCTGCTTATGCAAGCAAGCTAACTATAAATAGCGATGGGTTGCAAAATTTAGTTGGAAGTGTGCGTCTGTAATGGCATAGCTCAACATTAATTGTTTGAAGTCCCCCATCTCCATCCTCATCTGCTCAGTAACGACATAATGGCTAGCTATAGTCGCGTGTGTTAAACCTATAGTATATACAAATACCTATCCAGGACGTCTGAAGGCTTTTTTTAAATTGTCAGGATGTTGTGGCCGGCACTCGGGCAACTATACACAGCCGACACTCGGCCGAGTAAACATAGCCGACATTCGGCCAGGCGGACATGCCCGGTCTACACGCCGGAACAAATATATGTGCCGATTCGGCAACACGTATTCGGGCCGTATGCGGGCCGGCTAGCTTATATATATATATATACCTAGTTATAGGCTATAACCTATAGCCATCTATTTTTATTAATCTAAATGCATAAATTCTTTTTTAAGGGGCCATCCATTTATTATGTCAGCATGCAATGGGAATGTCTCGCAAATGATGATGGCTGAAGACCAGAGGGTGGGGGTGAAATTTGCATGGAATATTTAGAATCTAAAGATGACCTTCAAAGACAATAAAGTTTTAAGATTCGGAAACAGATGATAGTGAATCACACTGTTTACTTAATTTTGTAAATAATAAACATGAACATTCATTTAAATATAATGTATATTATGTTGCCATTAATATTATGCACAAAAGTTATTTTCCATTAATTAATCTAGAATTACATTATTCAATGTTATTAAATAAATTAAATTTTATAGACTTTTACATATTTAAAATAATAAATTATTTTTAAAGCGTTTTATAA